GGTGAGGGCGCGGGGCAGAGCCGGGCGGAGCGGCAGAGCCGGGCGGAGCGGCAGAGCGCGGCGTTCCCGCTGCCGGAGCGCCCCGGGTCGCACCTCCCCGGGCATCCCTTAAGGCCACCCCCTCCCTCCCAGGCTGCCGGCAGAGATGGAGAAGAGTAACCTTTTCCTGAACTGTTTTGTTTTGTTTTCTGTAGGAAATACCTACGACAGATCAATTATAGTTGACGGAGAAGAAGCATCTCTCGTGGTGTTCGATATATGGGAGCAGGTAGGTACAGACTTAAGACACTTTTTCTTTATGACTTGCTCAGTGATTCACTCTTTTAAAAAAGTAGAAATGGAACATCTATGTCTGCCTGTATCTTCGATCAGATCAGTAACGTTATAAAGTGACATGAAAACCCAAGAATTCGTGCTGCCTTTGTTCTCTCCTGCAATTAATTTGTTGTAGTGAGGCAGACAATTAAAAAACCTGAATAGGACTGGTCTGTGAATCCCTTAATGCTCTGAATAAGCAGCAGCTTACATGAGCATCCCAGGGAATTACTGTAAAATTAGAGATTTGTTACATGATCCGTGCAGATCTGATACTATTTCTGGAAACAAGAGAATTTTGTTTTTATTATAAGTAACAACATCTTGAAACAAGTGAGGAGGTTGGCTTACTTTTACTGATGCTTCATAATAAAGCTAAGAAAAATATTTTTAGGGTACTTAAAATAATTAACTAATTGATCAGACTGTTGAATAGGTTTCTCAATGCAATAAATCTTTTTCTTGCCTTTTGTTTTAGGATGACAGCCAATGGCTTCAGAATCACTGCATGAAAATGGGAGATGCCTATATTATCGTATATTCAGTGACAGATAAAGTTAGTTTTGAAAAGGCCTCTGAACTAAGAATCCAGCTAAGAAGAGCAAGACAAACAGAAGACATTCCTATTATTCTTGTGGGCAATAAGAGTGACCTAGTCAGGTCCCGGGAAGTCTCAGTTGATGGTAAGAGACACTATTCATTTATTTAGTAATGTGTAAATTAGTAGCAAAGGCTATGGAGGGTCATGGGCAACATAAATGGTGTGGTTTTGATGTAGAAAAATACACAGTTCAAGGCATACTGGAGAAATCGAGCCAGCTGGGCCATGCTGAGGGGATTGGTACCACAGAAAATAGTGGAGATGGGGGGGTAAGATGTGTGACTGCGCAGAGCAATGCTCTGAAACGCAGTACCAGAGAAAAAAGTGTCAGAGCTGCAGCTTTAGCACACTGGTTTGTGTAGGGTTCATTATTGGCCAGCATTAACTGAAAAACTTGAATTGCCTTCTATGTGTGCAGCAGCACTTGCTAGTCTCAAGATTGGTAGCTCAAGCTATGCTTTTTATAGGACAGGAGTGCCATATATGAACCCAGGCAGCCATTGACAAGAGTGATCCCATACAGCCTGAACAATCCTTTTTCTTCTGGAAGTGATTTCATTATGTTTGAGTTGAGCTGGTGAGACCAGGCTCTCACAACATAGTCTTCTACATGTTTTCCAGTTGTGATCAGTGAGAGTTTTCTCAGTTAGTTTCAGCCAGCATTTTGGTGACTAGAACACAATTAGCACTGCCAACACCATGATAGTAACTTCATTTTATTTAAACATTTGGTCATTTTGGTTTTTGGTTTGTTTGGGCTTTTTTCTTCTTTGGGAAGAATACTCTGAAATATTGGTGCCTTGATGGAAATGAACCATCTCTTGCACCACGTTCCCTGTGTTAAATGCCTGGACAGGAAATTGACTGAGTTCATCAGATACCACTTTTTTCAGGCTGGTGGCAGTGCATGGTTGACCTGTCCTAGTCATGACCATTGGAGCTTTGCTCAGGTTTACAACTTGAACAAGTTGAACATGGAAATCTGCAGTGCAGCAATGTGCCAGAGTAACATGCTTACGTCTGGGACATTGTGCATCTTGCATTTTGAATGTACAGATTAATGACCTCTCTCATCTGCTCAATGACTTGACGTTGTGGACTATATCAGCTGCATTTGTAACTAGCACGGAAAACTCCCACTTATTACACAATTGTGGTGCACAATTGAGGTGCACAATTGTTCAAGAATTTCCAGAGGAAATAAACTTCTTTCCGCACCTCAGACTGTTTCCTATCCAACAGCAAGCATGCATCCAGGTGCCTCTCCTATATCAGCTTTAGATTTAAACAATACTGGGACAGTCTGCCTAGAGAACTATTGTTGTCTTATACTCGGTACCATCAGTCAAATGAGATTCTGATCATACCACAACAAAACCAGGAGTAAGGGGGCAAAACCATAAGTGCAAGTTTCAACTTTCCAACCATATAGTAAAGCTCTTCTGTGGCATTGAAGGCACTTTCCTTGCTTAAAGTCAATTTTTGTTTTGCTTTTCTGTCAGCATATATGAAGAGAAAATGTCCAGCTCCACTCATCCCCCTTTTTCTCTTTCCATCTAGAGGGACGGGCCTGTGCTGTTGTGTTTGACTGCAAATTCATCGAAACCTCAGCTGCTCTTCATCATAATGTTAAGGACCTGTTTGAAGGGATTGTTCGGCAAATTAGACTTCGCAAGGATAGTAAAGAAGACAATGCCAGGAGAATGGCCAACACAAAAAGAAGAGAAAGCATAAGCAAGAAGGCAAAGCGATTCCTTGGGAGAATTGTGGCAAAGAACAATAAGAAGATGGCTTTCAAAGCAAAATCAAAGTCTTGCCATGACTTATCTGTGCTTTAGAAGCCTTCAGCAAGGCCAAATGCTGCACATGGGTGATGAACGAGCATTTGATGGTTATAAGAAGTGTATAGATAATCCTCATGGTGATAAGAAGAAAGACTTATCAACTGAGACTCTCAAAAATGCCTTAAGGTGCAAGCAAGTCCAGAAGTTACACTACACTGCTTCATTGATCAATGGTTTAAGTTTCAATGTGTGCAAGCAAACGAACTAACTTTTAAGAAGTGGCTTGACATGCCCACACTTTCACTGTGTATGTATGTTATATATCCTGTCGTCCTGTGGATACCAGAGATGCAGAGATAAGAAAGGATGATGATATGTATCACCATAGACTTGTTTCGTTTGCAGAGCAAAACTGAAAACTTGTACGCAGGCTCGTACACTCTTTTTAGTATAAAGCAAGCAATGATAAAACTTTTTAAACTTAAATGTGGTGAGGGAGGAATAAAACCACATCAGAAGGGGAGAAAACAAATTATATATGTATAGGTTAAAATACAGAACAGATACCATTTTATTAATTAATTTGCACTTCCATTAACTTACCTAATTAATTTGTTACTTGTTTACATGCAGATTTTATAATAAAATATTATTTCCTGTAATAATAAACTGTGCTTTTCTCATAGTATGGATAAAGAATGAGACACCAGTATTTTTATACAGGCCTTTCTTCACTGTACAGAATATTATACACAAGATGAATCAGGAGTATCCTGTGTCCTTTTCTTTAATAGACAGTTTCTTTAAGAAGTAAACCCTGCTTTTATGAACACTATACTTCAACAGCTCATACTGGGAAGGAGTAACTTGACATTTCATATTATTGTTCATCTTCAACCTCGTCATTGTCAGCTCTGGCAGGAGCAGACCTCTATATAATGCTTTTAGTTAGATAGATGTCTTGTGTCTATACTGATAAAGCCTGCAACATTCCACTTTTTAAATCCTTTCCTGGCTTGAAGACCTAGTGTTACAGTCAACAAGCAAATGCAGGGATTTAGGTTTAATTTGGTTTTGTCTTTTTTTTTTTTTTTCCCCCTTCCTTTTTGGGGAGCAGTGTAGGTTTCTAATCTACTCACAAGCCTGTAGATACCATCCAGTGGTTTCAAAAAGTTCAAGAAGGTGGACAAGGCTGTAGGCTTCACTTGTGGTTTATGGTGACCTTCAGCACTGTTAAAGTTACCATGTTCATTTTACTGTGTTATAATTAATGTGTTTCCATTATGTTTCCCTATTTCCTATTCATGAAGTTAAAAAGCAATCATGTCTCAGTGAAAAGCTTAGACTTAACTGCATTTGCTTTATAAATACCTCTTGATAGGAAACAATCTCTTTAAATTAATCCATAAACTCACTTCTCAAAACCAGTAAAACATATGCTTTTCTGTCTCTCTCCTGTCCCTGCCTGAGTCCAGTTCTTAAGCAAGAGTGTTCAGCAGCCTGGGAACTCTGTCCATGATTTTATAGGGGCTGACTTTCCCCATACAGCAGACAAACTGCAGCAGTTGTTACATCTTACATTGATCTTCCCTGAGCTTGAACAAATAACAGTTGGGGTTAGCCCAAAGTTAAGGCTCGGGCACCCGTCAGTGAACAGTTAGTACCACAGGAAATTTCATCTGATTTCTGCAGGCAATGCTCTGTAGAATTACTGCCCCCTGATGTGCTGCTGATGGACCTAACAGGTTAGAGGCACAGTTCAGCATAGGTTGCTGCCAGTGGGTCACATTTCATATCAAAGAGGTGTTGATTCTGTGTCCTAAGTGAAGTCTAAAGTGAGTAATTCTGTCCTGCTGCCAAAACTCACATTTATGTGATGATACATTTTAATTGGATTTGGCTTTTTTTCACTTGCCTTGCTTCCTGGCAAATTATTATCAGTGGAACGTCCAACCACTGTCAGAGTCTGGCACCAGCTCTCTATTTACATGGAAGGACCAAAGCAATTGCTTTAGACCTGAAAACTATGGCAAGTCTGTCCAAATTAATGTGCATAAATTTGGGATATACCTATTCATACACGTTAAAGTTACTGACAAAACTATGTGGTGCTCCCTATACATGTGCAAAACTTCTGTGCTTTTGGTGCTTTCAGAAAGACCAGGAATGGACTGGCATGTTTGATTGACTTGCAAGATTTTATTCCATCCCTAATAAATACAAAGAATGGGATGCAATCCCAGAGTTTAAGATAAGTCACTCCTACTGCTGCAACATAACTGCAGCTGCAAAGCCTCTCCAAGGTCATGGTTAGCAGCTGTGCTTTTTGCATGCTCTGACCTACAAATCAGATGTTTTGGTGTGTTCAGGAATTCAAAGGTTAAGTTTGGACAACTCTTAAGCCTCACATACTTACCAGGTGCTCTAGTGCATTGCTAGAGGTTCATTTAAACTTTGGAAAATAATTCGTATCTTGAAAGTATGTCATATAGGACACTGTGACACAATCAGCTATGAATCACTAAGAAACTTTGGCTAATCTATCATGTATTCTATAAGTTAATATTGTACAATAAAATACTTATTCAAATCCACATTATACTATTTTTTTCATTCGTTTGTACAAGGATTAGCGGAATTCAGCTGTGGCTCATGAAAAGGGGAGGATTTGTTGTTATTGCAGCTCTGGACCAAGATGATATTGTATGCTATAGAAGTATTACCATGAATACTATTTTGCAGAAATTTTGTATCTCCTGGAAGATTTTCTACCCAGAAAAGAAATTAATTTCTAAGATATCATTTAGTGGAATTTCCAAGTGGGCTTTTTGGAAGTACATGTGCAACACCAGCTAGGAGTCAGTAACAGACACTTTAACTGTCAAATGCCATTAAAAATAAACTTTCTTCAAAAGGTTATTTGAAAGGCATTTGAAAGCCAGTTATTTGGTTTTGTAATTTGAGATATTTTATCAGAATGGATACTCTGATTCTTGGCATTAATGGGGTGAATCTACATCACGTGAAAAATAGTGAATCCCAGAAAGCAGTATTTTCTCTGATTATTACCAGAGTAGAATGCAGTGTAAGGGGTAACAGTGGTGTGAGTTTTCTAATTTTTTTGCCAATGTACATCAGGTTTAATTTGAGGGACAGTTCACCCAGTCATCTAATCTTTACTGACTTCACTGCTGCTGGCAGATGAAGTTCCTGTTACTCTTAATTGTGGTGGTGGATTCTGTGTTGGCACAAATCCATTTGGAACAGCTACATACTAACAACTACACTGGAAGGACATTGCCTTTTATATATGACACATGTTAAGTAAACAAATTGAAGCCTCTTCTGCTTGCAACTGCTAAGATAGCTCCTGTAAATTCTTCACCATACGAAAAATGTGAAGAAAATAATTTCTCCATCTGTCAAAACCACAAAGCATAAATATAGATGAAATGTTAACTGCTGGGGGAAGACTTAGCATGACCAAAAATGTAGTTTTACTCAGATGTATTTTCTCCAAATAGGACTAGAAAAAACAGGCATGATCTACAGAGCAACATTGCATAACATCACTGTTCTTTACTGAAAAGGGAAGTATAGTGAGCTGACAGTGAGAAGAATCCAGTGTATGATAAAAGATTGCTAAGACAGTCTAAAAAAATTGGGGTAATACTTACTTATAATATGCTGCAATTTACTTTAGTACTATTATATTTATTCAGAGACAATGCACAGATTAAACTGTATGTACATTACACACATGAGACCTCACTGAATCTACAGCTGCACGCAAAGGTGATGTCTGTGCATTACATGTGATCCCTGGCATTATAGTGGACACTCTGACTCCCTCTTTGCATAAAGGAATATTTGAACTCAAATACTATCAAAGTTATTAATTTATAGAAATTGAAATAGTAAATTATGTCAACTGTCCTTGTGCTGTATGACATGGATGTTGAATTGAGAAGTAAAGGATAAAAAGAGATCAAATGCTCATTGCTTATCTGCAAATAAGATTTCTCTAACCCACTGTTCAGAATCTAAGGGGGGAGCAACATTGTGTAACTTTAAAATGTACTAAGGATTCTAGCAGTAGAAGGTAAGAAGCAGGCTAAGAAATTTACTTCAACACTGAGTTCTTCACCAACAAAATAGTATTAACTGTGCACCACAGAAATGTTGTGGCCACTGAGTAAGATGGGCAGTGTATATTCTAAAGACTCTTTTCTACCTTATTCTATTTTAACCCCCCCCTTTCTTTTTCTATTTATAAATACACTGTCTGAATCAACTGAAAACGAATTAGGAACCAAAAGCTTCTTTTTATAATATTTCCCATATTTATCACAGGCAATGAAAATATTAACGGGAACCGAAATTTAGCAGATTCATAGAATGAGATAAATAGAATACATTTGAAAATGTTAGTTTTCTCACTCTCCTAAAAAAGCTTATCTAAGGTCTGAAACCAGGGCTGGAGAAACTATGGGATTCAGCAAGTGCATCTACTCAAAATAGTCTAGTGAGACCCATAAAAATCTCCTCAGCTATTTTTCTGGCAGTAAGTCCCACCTTCATCAACCTCATTACACTAACATAAATAATTATGCTACTGTTAGGCTTGTAGTCTCACTGGGGGTTGTGACCCTTACTTTGGGAATGACAGTTTTCAGTTCAGCAGATGCCTTGGCAGAAGAATGGTAATTTTTGTCACATCTAAGTTGGATGATTGTAATACACTATGCTTAACAAAGAGCTTTCAGGAGCTCTAGGTAGTAGGAGATATAGTTGCATTAATTAAGCTGTCTAGGTCACAATAAGTATGTAATGTCTGTGCTCAGGCCCAGGTTTCTATACATTTTTAGGTGAAGTGATGGTCCAGAAAAGCTTTGGAGATGACTAATGTTGAAAAAGCTTCATTTTGTTGCATGTTCCTTGGCTGGCTACAGTGCTTGTTGAAATCACTATAAAGTCAGCAGCATTGCTTGATTTTAGACTGCTCAACAAGAACATCTTGGCATTTCTAATCTAATTGCAGGTATTCAAGTATCTTGTTACAGGTATTCAGGTCACAACAGCTTGGTGCATTTGACACTGCAATGGTAACTGCAAGAAATCATGCCCTGTTTATTACTCTTAAGAATGCAAAAAGTATAAAGCAACACAAATAACCTCTTATCTGAACTAGAACATACTTCGAATTTAAAAACCGTGCCAACGGATTTCTCACAGACTTTTCAGCTATGGGCTCTTGCATGTTTTCAGCTATGTTTTCAGTTGTAGAGCTTCTTTGTCACACATTTTTCATGTCAACTTAATTTTATCTTTCCAACCTCCATTGTTACACATTGTCACCCTTGCAGCAGTGGCTCAGCAGTACAGTGGGAACGGGAGAGTGGCACTCCTCTGCTGCTGCATGACTTCGTGAAAAACATGATCTGTCAACAGCTGTAACACAAACCTGGTCCCCAGCTCATTGCTTTACATAATAAAGTCTAGATAAAAATGTCAGATTTTGCTGCACATAAGCCCCTGTTTGAGACATGAACAGCCAACTAAATGAATGTCAGAGGTACTGTTGCATTTACAAGGCAAAAAGTAGTGGAAGATTTTTAGCTAATCTGCACTTGAAGTAAGAAGAAAAAAACTTATACCACCTGACAGCCACCTCTCTTTTTTATTGTATATAATTTTTCAACAGCAATCCTTTCAGCTATAGAGTATTGTTGTGCATGCTCTTCTGCCCTCTGAC